GGGAAAGAGCCAGAGCTTCCTTTGCCCAGTCTTCTCAATCCCATGGAAGAAATACAAAGCACCTTTAAGACTAACAAAGATTTTTCAAATTATGAGCTTTTTGCCTTTCTACAAAGAGAGAGAGAGAGAGAACAAGAGAGAGAGAGAGAACGAGAGAGAACGCCAGGGCTCTCCTGGGTGCAATTGGGTTCCCCTCCTCTTTTTCATTCGTGCCCTCATGATCCAGTCTTCCTCTGTAGGAAAGCAATGTGAACTTTTTAGATGAGGAATAACAACAAGCTAGTGAGGTGGATTAGGCTGAGAGTGTGTGTCCAAATCAAGTTCACTCAGCCCATTTCCTTTGTAGACTGGGGATTTTGAACTTAGATTTCCCAGACAGTAGGCTAATATTGACCACTATACATTGCTGTCTCTCTATTCTTGCACTGCCTCATAGGAGTTTTAGTTATTTCTCTGGGGAAGACTATAGTTTTGTAGACAAACATATAGCCCTCAGTCTGTGTCATGGTGCCTTCACATATTCTTGATCAGCACACAGAGTAACTTATGTACTAAAGCTCATAATGTCCAGCCATTTCACGTTTTCCCCTGGATTTAGGCTCAGAGCATTGAGCATGAGATTTCTGTAATGAATGTCAATAAATCAAAAGTAGGTTTGCAGCTTACAGATACACACCTGAACAGCATACTCAGGATTGCTACAGCACAGACATTTTGATGCAATAATTCAGCGCAAGAGGTGTCTGTTATTCGAGACTGTTAAATAAACAAAATATTGCAAGAGTACTGTTTTAAGCATGTTTTATTTTAAGTTTTAACAAAATATTTGATTGTGTTTGTGTCCTTTATAAAGTTTATATCTCCGCTACCTGGTATTACATTTTATGACACACATGGCCTGGCCCAACAACGTCTCGTTTGTCAGATCTGGCCCTCATAACAAATGAGTTCGACACCCTTGGATTAGAGAATCTGATTCAGCTGAATAACTACCCGAAAAATACCCAGTTTGGTATTTGGTTTGGCTTATGGAGGTTTTTCAAACAGAGGCTAGATGGCCACCTGACAGCAATGCTGATTCTGAGGACTCAGGCAGACCATGAGAGGGAGGGCAGGAAGGGTTGCTTCAGTGCTTAGTTCTTGTGGCCCTTTCTTACACGCCCAGGGAAATGCTGATTGCCACTTTGGGGTCAGGAAGCAATTGTTCTCCAGGCCAGTTTGGCCAGGAATCCTGGAGGTTTTTTGTCATCTTCTGGGTGTGGAGCAGGGGTCACTGGGGGTGTGGAGGGGGAGGTGTTTGTGAATTTCCTGCATTGTACAGGGGGTTGGACTAGATGACCCTGGAGGTCCTTTCCAACTCTATGATTCTGTGAATACACATCCCTGCCCATTTTGAGCAGCCTTTTTGCGAAGGCCTTCTGTTCTCTGTGTGAATTCCTGTTCTTCTGGCTTGATTTCCACCTGTATCTAATCTTTCTTTCTGTCTTGTCTCTTTTCAGTTCTATCTGGCAGTGGATTACTATTCAGATAACCAGGTTTACGAGAGGTCAGTTCCTGTTAATACTTCCTGAATGGTCACCTGCTGTTGTCAAGATTGCATGTTCTTTCTCTGTGTGTGTGTGTTAAATAGAAATTCTGTGCTTGGATATATCCAAATTGTGCACCAAGAATTCTGTGACTTGACAAAACAAACCAATTTGCTGGGACGGATCATGCAAAATAAGAAATCCTGCAAAGTGGTCACAGGATTCTGCCTGCTTTGCTGTAGAGTAGGACTTGGAAGGGGCCGTGGTGGCTCAGAGGTTAAGAAGCTGAGCTGCAGACTGGAAAGTTGGCAGTTTGAGACCCTAGTGCCGCCTGATGGAGTGAGCTTCCGTCTCTGGCCCCAGCTCCTGCCAACCTAGCAGAAATTGCAAGTAGATAAATAAGTACCACTTTGGTGGGAAGGTAACAGCATTCCATGCGCCTCGGTGTTTAGTCATACCAGCCACATGACCACGGCAATGTCTTCGGACAGCGCTGGCTCTTTGGCTTAGAAACAGAGATGAACACCGCCCCGTAGAGTTGGATTCGACTGGCTTTCGAGCAAAGGAAACCTTTACCCTTACCTAGGACTTGGAAGACCTGGCTTCAAATCTCCAGGCATCCGTCTTGCTCGCTGGCGGTGCAAACTGAAGCAGAGTTTACACTCTTCTATATCATTTAGGATAACATGGTGGTCTTAGAAGGCTGCGACTCTGATCTCTGATCAGAAGGGTGCAACTGATCTCAGGCTGATCACTCCTGTTGGTCTATCTACCTCATGGGGCTGTTGTGAGGGTAAACATGCAGGATTCGTCATCTCATGTGTGCCACCCTGTGTTCCTTGGAAGAAAGGCAGGATAAAAAGAAATCTAGTCGACAGAGTAAATAGTCCTGGGGCCAGTGGACCAGTATAGTCTTGCTCAGGTTTGTATTTATACTCCAGCTCACAACGGTTGGTCTGCTGCAGTCTTGTAGTGCAGTTTGGTGTTAGGTACAGAAATCAGTATCCTAAGAAAAGGAGAAACTACTTTACATGGAGAGTGATTAAAATGTGGATTTCAGCAATACTATTCTCCGTGCTTGTTGTATACACTTTCCTGCTTTCTTTGGCTTTCTATATTCAGAGACCTGTTGCCTGTATATAGACCTTTTAACCATCCCAGCCAGAGCATGTCTTTTTCTCTTGTCAAAGATATAAGAACTTGAGAACCCAGTGTATTGATTCGTTACTCCCTGATGTTGATTTGCCTGTTGCAACTAAGCTCCAATTCTTGCTTGGTGGCTCTGATCCAGCACTACTGTCTCAGCAGTTAAATTTCTTTTGGGAATGTTCGAACACAGGAGGAAAAATTAGGGAAGTCATGTTCTACTAAACAAACTAATTAGTAATCAAATTAAGTAGAAACATAAATAAAGAATACGATTTGTAAATCTTAAAATTGCTATTACCAGGATTTTTATCAGTTGTAATATCGGATAATCCAATTGCTGTGTGTATAATTCTGTATAATTCTGTTATTTGCTTATGAACAAATGGTCTGCGAACATTAAAAATAAATGAAATGAAATGTGGAATTTGCTGCCAGAGAATGTACTGTTGGCCGCAGAAGGCAACAGCTTTAAAAGGGGATTAGACAGATTCATGGAGGAGAAGTCCATCAGTGGCTACTGGCCATGGTGACAAAGGGGAACCTCCATGTTCAGAGGCACTAAACCTCTGAATGCCAGTTCCAGGAGGCAACATCAAGGGAAGGCTTCAGCCTCTGTTCCCTGTTGTTGGCCCTTCATAGGAACTGGTTGGCCACTGTATGAGACAGGAAGCTGGACCAGATGGACCCTCACTGGTCTGATCTTCTTATGTTCTTAATATTTGCTTTAGTTTAAAAAATGATTCCAGTCCTCCAGTCAATGCATAATGAGACAAGATCTTTCAGGGAGGACGAAGAGCCAAGCAGGATTTCCAGAAATCAGGAGTCGAGCACCATGGTGTAACTCCTTGTCTGTTTGTAGAACAGAGAGAAATTATTCTTGGAAAGAAAACTTGATGAACGTAGTTAAGTTTATATGCAGAAATTGGTGTGTTTTCTTTGGTACAAAACTGTCTTCTGTGCACACCCACCTGCTTTTGCGCAGATTACTTCTGTAGTATTACAGGCTATAACTATCTGGGTTAGCACACTTCAATGAATGCATATACAGTCTGTGTACGGTGTGCAATTTGTGTTCCGTGATGTGTGTGTGGAGTAGTCCTCATGTTACATTCAACACATGTGCAGCCGAACATGTGACTGAAACCTCACATGGATCCACGTACTGATCCCTGATTTCATTTGTACAGTGAATGTCTGTTGGCTCTTTCTTACAAACAGATGTACATACATGCAGGCAGGACGTCTGTGTGCACACTGAAATGTGTAAGTGAGACTCATGACCGTTCCTAGTCAACTGCTATGTATTTTACTGTGTTTTTTCTGTGGGGCTGTGGCTCAGTGGAAGAGAATCTGCTCGGTGTGCAAGAGGCCTCAGGTTCAAGTCCCAGCACCGCCAGTTAAAAAGACCAGGCAGGAGGTGATGGGAAAGACCTGAGCCTGAGACCCTGGAGAACCGCTGCCCATCTGAGCCGATAATACGGACACTGAGCAATGGTCTGATTGGACATATGGCACCTTCATGGGTGTTCATGTGTGAATGGCTGGAAACCATCTTCTTGCCTCTCTCCCTGGGGATTATATTTTTCCCCTCTGTGGCTGCAACAACTTGTGGTGCTCTGAAGTCTTCACACATATTCTTTCTGTGTGTTTTTCTCCCCACTCCAGTGGTGCAGACATACATTGGTGGCACAATGGGTGAGCCTGTGCCGGACGACAAGTCCTTGGAGCTGAACGCCCATTCTCGCTTCATCATTGGCTCCGTGTCTGAGGACAACTCCGAGGACGAGACGAGCTCGTTGGTGAAAATCGACCTGCTGGAGGACAAAGAGCGGTCCTTGTCGCCGGTCTCCGTCAGCTCGGACTCGCTTTCCGACCTGGCTCCCTCCAGTGTCCAAGACGGGCTGGCCAGTCATATGAGGTACCAAAATGGATCCCAGTTCTTTCAACTCTGGGGCCTTTCGCCATTCCTACTCATCCAATTGGCCTTGCGAGGGCAACAAGTACTGACTAACCAGGAGTGTGACATGAGTGGGAATGGGGCACCCCACCGGCTCCGCTGCGCCTCCCGTTCTCAGCCAAGCAGTTGCTGTTTCAACCATGCTCTGCAAATAGTTTATTGGTTTCATCTGCGTCAAATTCATGTGTGTCCCCTGGAGGTGCTTGAGGCAGCTTACATGCAATTAAAAATATTAAAATTGCACTTAAAATCATAAGGAAAGCTACCCTCTGGGGCCAGAGTGAACAAGTGTTCTCTGCCGGTGTCATAAATTTAGCGCATCCAACCCCATCTGTCTGTGGGTGGGTGGGGGGTAATGCCATACTGAAGGTGCCCCCCCCCCAAAGAAACAGGCCTTGCTTGGCCCTCTGCTTTATTTCAAGGAGCTACAACATGGCGACTGTAGGAATCGGGCAAGTTCATAGGGGGAGCAGGAGATCCTTTCCTCTGTCTTTTCCGGGCAGAATTAAGTTGCTGGTCTTGAGCAGGCGTGATGGCCCAGGGTTTCCGGTTGAGCTGGGAAGGTGCCAAGGGCTGGGAATGGTGGAGCTTAAAAGAAACATCTGTGGGACATCAAATCAAGTTCAGATGAAGATCGGAGGTGCTTTAGATGCTGTTATTTGGTCTGCTTCTTGGGTGAATATGCTGAATGCAACAGTTAATGTATTCTATACATTTAATTAAGAAGGATTCGGAGGGTAGCCGTGTTGGTCTGCAATAGAACAACTAGACTGGAGGGTGGTATAGAGGCCAACAAGGTATTCTAGGATATAAGGTTTTGGAGAAAGGGAGCTTTGACTCTTGCAAACTTATACCTTGATAATTTTGTTGGTCTCTGAGGTGTAGCTAGATTTGAGTCCAGTAGCACATTTAGGAGTTGGTTTTCAACTAAAAAAGCTCTCTCTCTCTCTCTGTATGTGAGTTGCCAGCATTAGCTGTTTTTCCTACTGTTTGGTGAATGGCCTGGCCTTCCTGGTTCCTTTTGAAGGTGGATAGTGGGCAGATAAGGGGCCATGGTGACTCAGAGGTTAAGATGCTGAGCTGCAGACTGGAAGGTCTGTATCTCGGCAGTTCGAGACCCGAGTGCCGTGTGACGGAGTGAGCTCCTGTCTTTGGCCCCAGCTCTTGCCAACCTAGCATTTCGAGAGCAAGAAATTGCAAGTAGATAAATGGGTACCGCTTTGGTGGGAAGGGAACAGCGTTCCGTGTGCTTCGGCGTTTAGTCATGCCGGCCACATTACCATGGAAACGTCTTCAGACAGTGCTGGCTCTTCGTCTTGGAAATGGAGATGAGCACCGCCCCCTAGAGTCAGATCTGTCTTGCTTTCAAGCAAGGGAAACCTTTACCTTAGTGTTCAGATAGCCATATGTCCAGCCTCTGGAACCATGCGAAGTGGGAAAGGACAGTCTGTAGATGCTAGATGAACAGCTATATCTTCCCTTTGTAAAAGATGTACCTTTCCAATTGCCTGTTTCTAGGCCGTGGGGTGAGCAGCCTTGAAATGTCTCATCTTTCCATTTTTGGTTTCCTGCTGCACTCTGTGCATGTATCACAGGGTCCTGAGAAGCATGTTGGGACTGTGTGCTCTGTTTGCGCCAGATACAGTCCTGTGGAATTTTACAGTTGTGTTCTGTGACCCAAGAGGGCATTTTGCAGCACGCTGAACACGCCACCACAGGCGGAGGTGGACAGTGGGGTTCAGCCAGAGGGAAAGGGGTGTATTCTTGCCCTCCTCCTTCTCCTTCAGACTGGCTCCTTTCTGACCGGGGGAGCCCCACAGCTCTTTGCTTGGTTTCTTTTGCGTGTGATTCCCCAGCCGTGCTTCTTTCCTTACCTTACTCTGGGGGAGTAGTGGGACTGTAGGAAAATCCTTAGTAGAGATGCTGTTGACAGAAGGTCCCAATCCCTGATGTCAAGGATGCACGAAGCTGCCTTATACCAAATTGGGCTGTCTCTCGAGCTCAGTATGGTCTACTCTGGCTGGCAGTGGCTCTCCGGGGCAGAGGCCTCTATGTAAAACATTTATTTATTTATTTTTATTTGTATCCCGCCTTCCCCTGCGAGCGGCTCAGAGCGGTCACAGCAGTCATACCACAGCACTGTTGCAAAAAAAGAGTCATAATAAGAATGTTAAAACACATAATTTAAAACCAGATTAAAATCACTTCAATTAAATGGCAGACCAGTTCGTGGGAGTCCAGAATGCCTCCTGTTTGTGCGCATTTAGGTGATCAGTAGGCATCCAAAAACCAACAACATCAAATATGCAGACGATACCACTCTAATGGCAGTAAGTGAAGAGGACCTAAAGAGCCTCTTGCTGACAGTGAAAGAGGAGAGTGCAAAGATTGGCTTGAAACTCAACATAAAAAAACCTAAGATCGTGGCATCTGGCCTCATCACTCCTTGGCAAATAGAAGGGGAAGTCGTGGAAGCAGTGACAGAGTTCACGTTCCTGGGATCCAAGATCACAGCAGACGGTGACTGCAGCCATGACATTAAAAGACGCCTGCTCCTTGGGAGGAAAGTGATGGCAAACCTAAACAGCATGATAAAAAGTAGAGACATCTCCCTGCCAACAAAAGTCCATATGGTCAAAGGGATGGTATTCCCAGTAGTAATGTATGGCTGTGAGAGTTGGACTATAAGGAAGGCCAAGCGCCGAAGAATAGATCCTTTTGAACTATGGTGCTGGAGAAGACTCTTGAGAGTCCCTTGGACTGCAAGAAGATCAAATCAATCAATCCTAAAAGAAATCAACCCTGACTGTTCCCTGGAAGGAAGGCCAGATACTGAAGCTGAAGCTCAGATACTTTGGCCACCAAATAAGAAGGGAGCCCTCGCTGGAGAAGACCCTGATGTTGGGAAAGATTGAAGGTCAAAGAAGACAGGGACGGTAAAGGGTGAGATAGTTAAGACAGTGTCCCCAATGCAACGAACATGAAATTGAGCAAACTTCAGAGGACGGCGGAAGACCGGAAGGCCTGGCGGGATCTTGTCCATGGGGTTGCGAAGAGTCGGACTCGACTGTGTGACTGAACAACAACAAGGCATCCAACTTGTCGGAGAGTGCTGTGTAGATTTCTATAGCACCGAGGGGCCATTAAGTAAGGCAGTATGAGCAGGAGAGGCTGAAACAGTTGGATGCCCACAGCTCAACCGAAGGCCTGGCGGAACAGCTCCATTTGGCAGGCCCTGCAGAATGGTAATAAATCCCACAGGACCCTAATCTCAACTGAGAGGGTGTTCCACCAGGTCGGTGCCAGGGCAGAAAATGCCCTGGCCCTGGTCGAGGCTAGGCAGACGTCTTTCGGACTGGGGACTATAAAAAGGTGTTGGTCTGTGGAGCACAAGGCTCTCTGAGGCACCTATGGGGAGAGACGGTCCCGTAGGTGTGTTGGTCCTTGGCTGCATAGGGCTTTGAAGGTTAAGACCAAAACCTTGAAATGGATCTGGTACTCAGTTGGCAGCCAGTGCAATTGGCAGCCAGTGCAACTGGTGCAACACTGGCTGAATGCGCGTCCACACAGATGTCGCCGTCAGCAAGCACGTCGCCGCATTTTGCACATGCTGCTGTTTCTGGGCAGCCCCGCATAGAGTGAATTACAGTAATCCAGTCTGGAAGTGACCATTGCATGGATCACTGTAGCTAAATCCTGGGAGGAAAGTTAGAGAACCAGCTGGAGATGATAAAAGGCAGTTCTTGCAACATTGGTGACCTGGGCCTCCGTGGTAAGTGAGGCATCCAGGATCAACCCCAGGCTTTTTACCCTTGGCGCTGGAGTCAACGGTGCCCCACCAAGGCTTGGAGGCCGGATTCCTGACACACACACACACACACCCGGGTCAGGTACAGGACCTCCGTCTTTGCTGGATTTAATTTCTCTCCTGCCTTCTATCTGTGGGCTAAAGGCAGCAAGCAGTGTAGCAGCTGAGCAGCAAGGATACAATTAGCAAAATTAAGAAGAAGAAGAGATTGGATTTATACCCCGCCCTTCACTCGGAGCCTCAGAGTGGTTTACAAACTCCTTTCCCTTCCCCTCCCCACAACAGGCACCCTGTGAGGTAGGTGGGGCTGGGAGAGCTCTTTCGAGGATTGCTCTTGAGAGAACAGCTCTGAAAGAACTTGTGACTGACCCAAGTTCACACCAGAGGCTGCAAGTGGAGGCGAGGGGAATCAAACCCGGTTCTCCTAGATTAGAGTCCGTGCACTTAACCACTACACCAAACCGGCTCTCAAATAAAAGTTTAAAATTAAAATAATTAAATACACAGATTGCCTGCTTAAAGGTCCTCAAGGATTAAAACATACAGAATCAACAAACCTCAGAGCCAGCGTGGTATGAGAGCCAGATTGTGTAGTGGTATAGCATCTGGGAGACCTGGGTTCGAATTCCCACTCTGCCATAGAAGCTTGCCAGGGGACCTCGTTCTAGTCCCAGACTGTCAGCCTAACCTACCTTGCAGGGTTGTTGTGAGGATAAAAAGGAAGAGTGATGTAAAAGAGTGATTGTAAGAGTGATGTAAAAGAGTGAGGATTAAAAGGAAGGGTGATGTAAGCTGCTGTGGATCCCCATCAGGGAGAAAAGTGGAGTAGAAGTGAAATAGCCTTCTACATCGCCCTCTACTGATGGTGGGGATTGAACTCGGGACCTCTTCCGTGCCAAGCAGATGCTCTGCCGCTAAGCCTTGACCCCCTTCCCATTTGCCTTACACTGCATCACACTCTCAGTGCATCAAGGTCAGAATTGTGTATTCAGACTGGCAGCGGCTCTCCAGGGTTTCAGGCAGAGGTCTTTCATATCACCCATATCAGCTAATTTCCGGTGCCAATTCAAGGTGTTGGGTTGACCTATAAAGCCCTAAACCAGAGGTGTCAAACTCATTTGTTACGAGGGCCAGAGCTGACATAAATGTCACT